AAAAATGTAGGTTGCATGCAGGTAGACAGCCTGTTTATTTATTCCAGGCTAGTCACATCATTTAATGCACTGTTGGAAGGCGAGCAGATGCTGTGGTAATGGGCTTGGTATCAGAAGCCAGATAGAATAGAATTTTGCAGATTTGCATATTGTTTTCAGCACCATATATACTATCAAAACAACGTACTAACAGATGAGTCCATCTGAATCGCAGATTGCTCCCGATTGATGCCGGAACGTGTTGCCTAGTGTTTAGAACAGAGGCGTGGGAGTCAGTACTCTAGGGTTTTCGTCTCACTTCTACGGTAGCTCACCAGAGTTAGTAGGAGAAACCTTGGAGCCGGGATGCCTGGGTTCTGTTCTAGCTCCCGCCACAGTGCAGCCTTCGGCAAGTCACTTTTTCTCTGTCCCTTAGTTTGTCTCCCTGTAATATGGGGTGATGATAGTGACCCACATCACAAAGGCTTCACCATGAATGTCCGTAAAGTGCTTTGAGATCCTCAGAGGAAAGGCACTATAGAAATGCAAAGCCCCATTCTCCCCTTAGATTGTTTATCGTTCACAGTAATGGAAAGTGTCTAAACATGGATCATGACAACTTTAAGCTGCCACTGTTGGTGCTTAGAGGATGCCACAACTTACATGGCCCAAGGCTGGTTTTCGAATGAGAAAACTTTGACCTTTGCCAGCATCGTATTGTTTCTGGATTTCTCTGGGATTGTCTAACCCCCAACAGCAGCAGCAACAAAAAGGGGTTTAATAGAATCTGTGGCAGGAAGATGAGGATGTTCAAGCATCAAACTGAGCTTTTAGGCAGTGTTCAGCATGTAGGCAGGAAAATACGCGACTGGGTCTAATTCGAGCTGATCTACAGGGTATGCTCCAGTTCCCCCATCTCTTAGCTGGGCTCTCCTCCCCAGCACAGATACACACTACAATGCGGGGCTGGTTCCCTCTTATTTTCCCTTTCCACTCATTGTACATGTATTGCCATTTAATTACTGGGATGAAGGTTATAGGTGCTCAAAGATGTAATAAATCGGATGGTCTAATGTTGCCCTCTAGTGGCCAGTAGCTTACAAAGCACGTACCCACATTGTGGGAATCAGGGATTCATTACAACTTGAGACGATAATGACCTGGCTCATAAGGCCCAGCTCAGCCCTCTCTTTTGCTACAAAGCTGCCTCATTTCTTTACAAGGGAGAAGCAATACTTCCCACCCGGTCAGACCAGATATACCTGCTCTTCAATTTTCACTTGTGTTGAAAGGGCTTTGGATTGCGGGGGGGGGGGACTGCCCCCCATCACCCCAGTAAAGCACTAGAGGGAAGGTGTTCTCACTCGATTGCCATACGCCTTGGAACGATAGCTGAATATTTTGCAGACTCATGCAGCACATTTTGCGCTGCCGCCTGCTGCGCTTTCTCAGCTGGTATTGCCATGGAGGGCAACTGACCCTCCTTCCTTATTCTACCCCAGTGATATGTCCGATGTTGCTTCAACATGCAAGCAGCTAACAAACATCCTCCTCCGGGTTGAATTTCTTGAGCAGCAGGGAGTTACATGGTTAGGAATACATCTACGAATCGACAAAATCAGGCTCCTGTTTAATGCTCTTGCTTTTAACGTATGTTCTGATTCTCATTCAGGGCCATTTGCAATATCTGGGACCAGCGATCTTGTTCCCAGGTTGGTGAGGCTCTTCTTACCTGTAAGATCTTTGGGACACATACTATGTATGACCAGCATCTATCACATTACAGGTGCTACTTAAACACAAATAACTAGTCCTCCTCCTCCTGCTACTTCTCCCATCATTCAAGCCTCAGTTCAAAACCATCCTTTGCTTCCCTTTTATCTGTAGTCAGCTACATTCTGTGCTATATTTCTCATCAAGAAATGAAAAAGACATATAAAGGTTAAATCTTGTCTGGCAAATGCGTGATGGATCCCTGTAGTCAAATCTGCAGATTACTATTACAAATATGACACTCTGGTATCTGGCTGCAGTGCAGAGGTTAAGCTGAGAGACTCTAGTTCTCAGACACTGTGTTTTTGCCACCCCCATTTGGAAGGGGTGGGATCTTAACAGTCTAACAGACCACAACCGCAGGAAGATTTCACTGATATTCAGCCCAGATGGTATGTTTTCTTACATCTATCCCTATTCCTCCTAGCTATACCATTTGTCTGTCGCAAACAAGTTACTTGGTCCTTTGGCAGCGTTGCTGTTTGTTATGTTATGCAGCATCTTCATGTGTGAGTGCAACACTCCATATATCACTAATAAATAACATTCAGGTTGGCTAGAGACGGTAAAATCCAGCCTCACGTGCAAGGCAAAAGGGGCAGTTTGTGCACAGATGTGTTAGCAGCATAGTTCAGCATAGCTCACTGGATGTGAAGCAGATACACAATGGTTTCTCATATCAGCCCTCCAAGGGTGCAGCATTTCCCCTTCCATGGGGGTGAAGCCTTTGTTCGTGTTAAGGAAATTATGCTCTAAACATAGACCCAAGTACCCTATAGCCCCACGCTGCATCACGGCACACCTAATTCCCTAGCCACTGCACCAGGGAACTAACAGGGTTAGTTCCCGGGCATCAGACCCTGCCACAGGGGCAAGTTATAGTGAGGTCACTCAGGTGACAACAGCTGGCCCCGGGGCCCAGAGCCAGGCCGCTACAAGTCACAGAGCTGGGCCAGCTGCCCAGGGTTTCAGAGCCCCCAGGGCTACCCCCCCACACACAATGACTTGCTGGGCCGGGGGCCATGCCAGTCCCCACCCCATCCTCCCTGCTCCAGGCTCTGCCAGTACCCCAAGGCGCTGCCCCGCCTGGGCCTTCCTCTGCAGCCCCAGCTTGTGCCCTGAGCCCCAAGGGCAGGACAGGGCAGGGCCCCCCTTGCTCCAGCCCATAAGCCCCCAGCACAGCCCTCCTCCCTGCTGCTAATCATGCTCCAAGCTCGACTCCGCCCCCCTTTAAAGCCTCCTGCGCCAGACGCCCCGCCCCGCCCGGGCTGTTCCAACACCTCCCCCCCGGGGGGTGGAGCTTCCCCCCTTCTCTGGGGTGGGCGCGCCGCCGGTCACGTGGTTTTGTTGTGGCCCCCGCCCCCCAGCTGTGTTTCTGACCAGGTGTCCCCGCTGAGCCCACGTGGGGCCGGTCCCTCGCGGGGAGGAGATGGAGACAAAGGCCGGTCACGCTCCAGTAGGTGGGGGGGCAGCGGTGGCTCCCTGGGGGCTGGTCTGGGGCATGGGGGGCAGTGGTGGATCTATGGGGGGGCTCTGGGTGGTGCAGTAGCTGAGGAAGGTGGGGGCAGTGGTGGATCTATGGGGGCTGGTCTGGGGCATGGGGGCAGTGGTGGAACTATCGGGGGGCTCTGGGTGGTGCAGTAGTTGTGGGGGGTAGCGGTGGCTCTCTGGGGGCTGGTTTGGGGTATGGGGGGCAGGCTCTCGGTGGTTCAGTGACTCTGGGGTGTGTGTGGGGGCGGCTCAGGGGCTACAGTGGCTCCCTAGGGGCTGGTTCTGGGGGGAGTGAGGGGGGTCCAGTGGCTTCCTGGTGGCTGGGTAGCAGGTGGCCCCGGGGGCTGGAAGTTGGAGCTGTGTGTGTGGGTATTTTTGGGGGGATGCTGCTCTTCCACACCTGGCTGTCAAATGGGGGGGTGGAGTTTGCACCTGTGCTCCCCCCATTAAAAAAAGAAACTCTTCCCCACTTCATCAAGCCCCCCCCAGCACTGCCCCAGCCACCCCTTGGCCAGGGCTCTCCTGCCTCTGCCTTGGGCCGTTGCCCGGCCCCGACTCAGCCCCTGGCAGGCCCAGGTCATTCCCTGGGGCAGAGGCTTGTGCATGTGGCTTCCAGGGTCTGTTTGGTGGCAGACTTTGGAGGTGTGTGTGGGGGGGTGCAGTTGTCTTCGTTATGAGGCGTTAATTCACCAAATGTGGCCCCTCCCCTTGGTAGGTAAGAATAACCGAATAACCAGGGCCCTGCCTGGGCGCTACGCAAGGTGTTCCCTGGAGTCTGAAGAGTCCAGCTAATGAATGCTCCTGGGGTTCAAGCATTTGACTGGGCCTCAGGAGATCAATTCCCAGCACTGCCCCAGACTCGCCAAGTGAATGTGGGCAAGTCAGAGAATCCTAGAACCGTAGGGTTAAGAGACCGCCAGGGCCATCTGGTCTGACCCCCTTACTCCCTTTGTGCCTCAGCTCCTCGTCTGTAAAATGGGGACAACGACCTTTCTTTTCCCTGGCCCCATCTCGTCTGTTTGGGGGGTAAGGTCTCTGAGGCAGGCGCCGTCTCTTCCTAGGTATCTGTACGGCACCCCGCACGGGGGCCTCTGCTATCGTATGGGCCTCGTAGGCATCGCTGGAATACAAACAACAGCCTGCCCCGTCACTGTCTGGCTGCTCGCCTGTGACGTGTGTGGTGTTTGTGTAACCCACACGCCTCCTGGCTGTGGGGTTCTGCCCCATCTAGTGGCACCGAGGAGTTAATGAGTCTGCTACAGCCTAAGCGCACAGGCCGTTGGTTTTTAGCTCATGCACTAAGCTCCAGAGGCCCCGGGTTCAATCCCGCCTGCTGACGACCAGGGTCTGTCGGTGTTACGCTGGCCGTCAATAACTCCCTTGGGTGAAGGGTCCCCAGCACTGGGGTTCAGCTCCTCAAACCCTCCTTTATTGAGGTGCTTTTCAAAGCTTCACGAGAGCTTATTTAATCTGTCTCCATTAACCCTCCTAACGAACTGCTGACCTATTCCTGGGTCATTCCTGACCGCGGGGCTGCTGGCGGCTTCCTGGGCTGGGAAGGGAAATGCTCCTTTAGGGGGGCGAAGCCAAACGTATGTGGAATTTGCAGACTTGCAAGGAGAGCGCTGGGCAGCAGTTCTATCAAACCCCCTCTCCCCCCTCTCACAGCAGAAGCAGGACTGTAAAGCAAATTGGCGTTTTCTTTCATTCTAATTTTTTTCAGTTGGGAAAGAGACCAACCTTTGCTGCCCCTGCCATGCTCGGATTACACCGAATCATCGATATCCACTAATCACCTGAGGTGCAAAGGGCAGGAAGCAACAGAAGAACCCTGCTGAGCTGGTGTTAATTTCAGCCTATCTGGCCGTGTTCAGCCTGGAGTTCTGGTAACCGGGGAACTGCAACCGGTTCTCAGTGGTGAGCCCCACGTCCATGTGGCTACAGCCGAACTTTAATCACCTGTCTGGCAGAGCCGTAACTAGGTATTTTTGCACCCGAGGCAAGACTATAAAATTGCGCCCTCCCCCAGGGCCGGCTCTTCGGCGGCGGGTCCCTCAGTCCCTCTCGGAGGGCAGGGCCTGCTGCCGAATTGCCGCCGAAGAATGAATGAAGGGGCGGTGGTAGAGCCTGTGATTTTTGCGGGGTCAACTCATGATTTTTGACAGCTTGGGCTGGTAACGTTGCTTCCAAGATGGTCTTTGGTTCCAGTCCAGTTCCAATCCAGAGAGGGACTCACAGGTTAAGAGAGGCGGGAGGTGCTGGATATCAGCAGTGGCCACTAGGGATCAGCATGTGTCCTGAGAATGCTGGGAGTTCAGGTCTGCAGGGCAGGATCAGGGGTGGCAGGGTTTGTAGACATTTTGGTGGTGCCCAGAACCCACCCCCACCCAAACTCCGCTCCCCCACCCGCCCAAGGCTCTGGGAGGGAGTTTGGGTGCAGGCCCTAGGCTGGGGCAGGGGATTGGGGTGCAGGCTCTGGGCGGGAGTTTGGGGTTGGGAGGGGGTGCAGAGGGAGGAAGTGCGGGTTGCAGGTTCTGGGAGAGAGTTTGGGGATGGGAGGGATGCAGAGGGAGGGGGTGCAGGGGTGAGGGCTATGGGTTGTGGCTGCAGATGAGGGGTTTGGAGTGTGGGAGGGGCTCAGGGCGAGAGTCAGGGTGAGGGCTCTGGGAATGGGAGGTTTGGGGTGTGGGAGGGGCTCAGGGCTGGGGCAGAGGGGTGGGGGATGAGGGCTCTGGCTGGGACTGGGGATGAGGTGTTTGGGGTGCTGGAGGGGCTCAGGGCTTGGGGAGTTGTGGGAGTTTAAATTCTTTTTCCTGTTACTTTATATTTCACTTGTGTCTAGAGGCTCCCGTTGCTAGGCCCTGTGGAAACACATCACTCGTCTCTTCCCCAAAGAGTTCACAATCCGGACAGACAAAGGGTGGGAGAAATAACTAATGTCATCACTTTACAGGTGAGGAAGGGCAATGGCTTGCCCGAGGTCGCCCAGGGAGCCTGTGACAGAGCTGCAAATTAAACCCAGATCTCCTGAGTCCCAGCCCAGAGCCTCAACCCTGAGACCAGCCTTTCTCCCAACCTTTTATTTCTTCACATTCTGGTGGAGAAACTGTCGCAACCTTCTGACGTGGGGAGATGCCATTGGCTGGAGGTCCCCTCCAGAACGAGCAAGGGCCTTGCTCAGGATGCTTAGCAGCGTGTGACTTCGGGTACAACTGTGCCTGGTGTCAGGGTTAAAAAGTGAAGCTTCTGTTTAGCTGGCACTTGGGAAGGTCTGTGCTCCTCTGAGCCCTTCAGGGCGCTGGCCACACGTTTTCAAGAGCTTGTCTACATGGGGACATTGAAGGAAGATTAAGCTAAAGTGAATTAAGCCCACTTTACTTCTGAATGAGTGTCTACACAGGATGCTTTAACTGTAACTTCATGCCTTTCGTTTGTCTTCACTTTCCAGAGAGTCCCCATGTAGACAAACCCCAAGTCTCGGGTCTCCTTTTTGCAGAACCAGACAGTGGGCAACATTTGTGCCGAGGTGGCTTAAAAACCAGTAGGACTTCAAAGCCTAGGCACTGGTGAAAATTTTACCCAATGTTGTTTAACTTAGGAATGAAAAATAATGTACGTAATACAACCAGACCCCGGAACTTCACCAAACTCTTGGTGGGTGCAATAAATACCGAGGAAAAGCAAATGCTCCTCTCTTTGCAAATGCTCTGCGGAAGGAATTGACAGCATCTCTCTCTTCCCCCTTTACCCAGATGTCCCAATGCCCGTCGGTGACTGAAACTGAACCACCTTGCGATGGCCCCTTTCCGGCGAAAGCGGGAGGGAAGCATCCCAGCAGTGGTGAACATTGGAACCAAGAGCGAGACCAGGACCCCAAAGAATGGGAGTGTGGCAGGTAAGAGACCGAGCGGCCTTTTCCTTGGGTCCTTTGGAGCTTCTGCACCTGCGGAGAGGGTCAGCCACTCAATGCAGGGTTCTCTCCTGGATTTTAACACTTTGGGAGCTGGCGAGAGACCACACCAAAGAGAGAAAGGGTCCCTAGGGTCATCCCGGTGAAGTAGCAGTCCCTGTGCCCGGCTCTAGACATTCCTGCTAACTGAAGTACAACTGACACTCATCTGCCATGTCTAGTGTATGGTCCGAGGCGGGGTGCTCAAAGCGTGACATTGCCTGCATGCTGCGCCAGTGCACCTCCAACCTGTGGCTGCCGTCTTTTCCCTTCCTCCACATCCTCTTCCTCACAAAGCTGCGTCGCTCTTCATAAACCCGACGAGTCCCTGCCCACCAAGGCGCACACCTGAAGAGTTTGCCGTTCTAATGCCAGATGGGCAAAGCCAAGGGCCGTGCTGGCAAGGGCGCTATAGAGCAAACGCTGCCTCCTTTGATACCAGTAGGGAGGTGTGGGCCCTGGAGAGTGCAGGGTCCAGCAGGATCAGCGTATCTTACTGCCTCGCTCGGTCCCTGCCGGCTGCACCCCCAGATTGTCTGTAAAGACATCTGTGGGCGGCACTGTGTCTGTCCTGATTCAAATAGGCTTAGAGCCCAGTCGGGCGGGGGTGGGGAAGGAGAAGCACAATTCATTGTTTCCCATGTGCCGGGATTATTTGGATTTCAGGTGTAGCTTCCCCCGAGGGTTAACTTTGTTTTAATCACGCCCTTACCGCATGGGTGCTGATCGGGCCACGCCAAGTCACTGGCAAGTGGGAAGGTGTGAAAACCAGTTTGCACAATTGACAACTTATCAGGCAGCTCCTCCCATCTCGAAGTTAGGTGTTGTGTCTGTTTGCTTTTGGAAATGAGCCTCAGACCCCACATGGTGCGAGAGAGTGTCTGCAGCACTCACTGGAGAATAGCTTTCCGATTTTTATTTAGCTAGTAGAGAAACCTGCATGATTTTGCCTCTTGGAGAAGAAAAACCAGGAGAGGAGGAATAACACTTAATTCTTAACTAGAAACCCCCTCCCTCAACCCCCCAGTGCAAACATCCCTGTGTTTGGATTGGGCCCACACTGCGATAGAGGTGAACGCTAGTGGCGAAATTTTAAAAAGATGACTAATATTGTGCAGGAGGACAGGCTTTTCTTACTGGGTTTGCACCACAGAAACGCTAAACGAGCTGTTGAGCTTGTCACGTGTCCCAGTGGCGCTCTTTCTGCGTGGCCTAGCAGTTACGTGTAGCTTGTGAATATCCCGGTTTTCCCCAGTGTGATGTGCCCCCCCACCTCCCCTAGTTGGCAGCCAAACTTCTGTTTCCTTTTGAAAAAACGATGTCTCAAATAGAGACTGAGCCCTGGCGTGAACTGAAAGCTTCTAGTTCTGCCCTTCCAAGGGAGTTGATCACATTTATTGTCCAGGTGGAAGACATTTTGTCTTGTCCGTTCCCGTTCATATGCCCAACAAAACCCCAGTTCTTTTGCTTTGGGGAGGAAAACCCTCTGACTCTTGTGCTGTTCTGAGCACAGGGACTGGTTGGTTATTTTGGGACCAAAAACTAGTCCTGCTTTGCCTTTGCTGTTTGGCTTCTTGTCTTGCTGTCACGCTCGAGCAGATGTTCATTCTCCAGCAGTTCTGGTGAAAAAGATTGCGGTAAGATATTGGGCATCTCTGAACCTGTCTGCTCTGCTTGGGCACCAAGACTAGATCTTTCCGCCTCCTCCCCAATGCTCAGACCTCCCACAGGTTCATTATCATTAGGGTGGATTGCATCACACAGTAGAGATACCGTCAAAGTAGAAACCATCTTTCTTCCCCCTCACTTGGCTCATGGGTTGGTGGGTGAGGTCTCTGTCTAAGCCCTATGTGAAGCCATAGCTTGTGTCACGTGGGAAACTTGTTAATTTTGTGTATTGTGGCCCTTGTTGTGCCAGGCGCTGTACAAAGACAGAACAAAAGCGCTCACGCTCTGAGTGTAAGACAGATAAACAGGGGGAGTACAAGGGAACAATTAGAGCCCAGGGGTGGCCAACCTGTCACTCTGGAGCCACGTGCAGCTCTTCAGAAGTTAATATGCGGCTCCATGTACAGGCACAGACTCCGGGGCTGGAGCTACAGGCACCAACTTTCCAGTGAGCTGGGGGGTCCTCACTGCTCAACCCCTGGCTCTGCCACAGGCCCTGCCCCCACTCCACCCCTTCCCGCCCCCTCCCCTGAGCCTGCCGTGCCCTCGCTCCTCCCCCCAGAGCCTCCTGCATGCCACGAAACAGCTGATCGGGAGGGAGGGGGAGGTGCTGATCAGCGGGGGGGGGGGGCTGCCGGTGGGTGGGAGGTGCTATGCGCGGGGTTGGGGGAAGCTGATGGGGGCTGCTGACGTATTACTGTGGCTCTTTGGCAGTGTCCATTGGTAAATTCTGGCTCCTTCTCAGGCTCAGGTTGGCCACCCCTGATTAGACCACAATGGTCAGCGTGTTGTTAGAGACAAGCTGCAGGACACGGTGTGCTAAGCCCTAATCCTTTCCCTGCTCTGCTTTCCCAGCACGCCTCCCCTCCAGATCTCCCATTGCTGGGGCACACGCTAGAAAACAAGAGGCGAGGGGACGGCAGGTCACTGGGGGTAGAAGCTGTTCCGTGTAACCTCGTGGAAGCTGCAAAGGGAAGCTGAACTCTTCACCCCGCTGCATGTACATTGTTATTCGAGGTTGCCTGCAGTTGGGGTGGAGGGGGAAGTCAATGAACAAAATAGTAAAACACTTGGGTTTGGGGTGGGTGGGGGAATGTTTCTAGATAACAGACTTCACACACCGATATTTTTTTTTGGTGGGTGGCAGGGTGTGAAGTGTGGGCAGAGCGCCTTCCAGGTAGCTGTCAGCATAGGTGGAGTAGAAATGAACGACAGCAGTTGTTTTTGTTCCTTTTAACCTCTGCGAAAAGCCACAGCTAAAGGGCACCTTTTCCATGCAAATAAGAGAGGTTGTCAGAGCCAGCCGCCGTGGAGCGGGGAGGTGTCAGTTTGTGACAAAGGCTCTCGTTTCCCCATAAAGCATAATAAATTCATACTCTGCAGTGCAGAACCAGCCCTTCTGATTTCATGAATGGCAGAGTCCATGTGAAGATGAGGAGGAGTATGGTACAGTACATCCCCAACTGTGAGGATGGATCGGGGAAACGTGGGAATCCTTCAGGGAGAGGGAGCTGTACTGGAAGCATTGAAAATAGTGCCTGCAACTGACGTTAAAGCTTTGCCAGTGTTAGGCTCCATTGAAGTAGAGCATCTAAAACTAACTTAGAGTTTCTGCATATTGGACAAGAACTGCAGCTGCAGACTTCACAGCAGTGGTGGGCAACCTGCGGCCCATCAGGGTAAGCTGATTGTGGGCTGCGAGACATTTTGCGGACAGTCAATGTCCGCAGGCACAGCCCCTCCGCAGCTCCCAGTGGCCGCGGTTCACTGTTCCCGGCCAATGGGAGCTGCGGGAAGCAATGGCCAGCACGTCCCTGCAGCTCCCAGTGCCTGGGAACAGCGAACAGCGGCCACTGGGAGCTGTGAGGGGCCGTTCCTGTGGACCGTCAACAGCTGCAAAATGTCTCACGGCCTGCAATCAGCTTACCCTGATGGGCCGCAGGTTGCCCACCACTGCTTTACAGGGACTGCATGTGTGAACTTTAGCAGCTGGGAGGAGGGTCAGTTTTTATTAATTGTCTGCAAACTATCCTAATCTGGTAACTTTTTGCCAGCCGTATTCACAGTCTTTTGCCTAAGAAGATAGGCATTGCTATGCTACACTGGATCATACCAACAGTCTGTCTAGCCTGGTATCCTGTCTCTGACAGGCGACTTCACAGAAAGGTGCTAGAAACCTCATTATGGACAATTATGGAATAGTCCACCCATAGGAGAAGTTTCTTCCTGACCCCATCAGTTAATGACTGTCTTATATCCTGAAGCCTGAGGACTGTTTTCTAAACGTGTTTTAAAATAGTAACTAATGTGTCTGTGGATGTTCTCATCCATATACATCTTTCTAACCCTTTGAGTCCTGGATCAAGCTTTTGGCCTCAGGCAGTGAGTGCCATGGGCTAACTATTTTTTTTTCATGCAGATTATTTTTTACCAGTTTTAAATTTGATACATTTCAAATTTACTGACTGGCCCCTTGTGTTTCTCTGGTGCATTCCCCTCTTATTCGTCTCTCTCTGAAATAAACAACCCCAGCCTTTCCACCCTCTCTTCATAGGAAAGGATCTCCGGGATTCTAATTGGTTTTTGTTGACTGTCTCTGAACCCCACGTATTTCTACTGTATTTCCTTGTCTGAGAGCGGGTGTCCAGACCGTAACACAGGAGCCCAGAGGAGGCGATCCTGTTGAATGGCATTATGTAGTATTTTGGTGGGTTTTCCACCCTATCCCATCTGGAACAGCTGGAAGGATACGGCTTTACTTCAGATAATACTGGGCAGAGGGCAGCGTTGGGCTAGAGGGCTTTGGCTGATTGGGATGTAGAATATACAGAAATTGAGAGCACCAAAGGTTACATTCAAGGCAACATGTTTTCAATGAGCTGCATAAAACCGTTGTTTAAGCCCGAATTGCAGAGCTAACATCCCAAGCATAACATGATGCTTTAGAAAATCCAGCTGTTCTTTCTCTGCTCAGGGGGTGCGTCAAAGTCAGCTGACGCCTCCTGAGGAAAACCTTTATTTGTAGAACCCATTTGATCAGCAAGAGCTTTAACGTAAGTCCGATTCCTTCCCTCCATGATCGCCACTATAACCTAACTGACACCTGGGAAGATTCTGCCTTTAGCTGAGGGACGGCACCAGAAGTGGATACGCTCTGAAGCTGCAATGATGCTGGTTTTCTGCAGACTCCGTAGTGGTAAGAGGAACAAGGGGAGACTGAAGTCTCTAAAGTGACCTCGGGACCTGAACGCTCCAGTTAATGGTAGGTCACATGTCTA